CACGCCAAGATGTAGAAAGCGGAGAGGGATATGTGGACTTCGGTGAAAACGAAACTAAACAATTATCTAATGAACCAAGGTGAGGGGAATTAGTTGTGTATGCGGAAAAGGAAAGAATAGATGAGGTTAAAAACGTGAGCACCGTCATTAGCGTGATCCAGGACACTTGTGAGCGGTTCATCAGCTGACTTAGGTCGTTTACAGCAGGAAATGATTCCGCCTTACTTCGGACTAAAATCGTTTCCGCCGTATGTGAGAGATGGTCTCCGTTATGAACATTTAACTCTTCAAGGATGGTGAACTGTCAATTGGAATGAAAGTTTATTAACTTTTTAACGCTGAAAGTAAACGATAGAGGAGCTTCTACTGTTAGGAAAATGGTAAAATAGACAAAAAATAGTGATTAAAAAGGTGAGCCGGAACTTAAGCCACATCGGTTAAAAGTCCTTAGTCCAGAAGTACATTCTAAGAGGAGTAAGCCTGAATGGTGGTGAGCAATTGATGGATGTGGGTATAGATGCCAGCTTTGTACTAAAAGGACGTATGCATAAGGTGCTTTGGACTCTGGAAGTATGTGCTGGAGGAGAAGACTTGAATTTCGGTAATAACTAGGCAAATGAAGATGAGGAGTGAAAGAACTGGTGCACAGAATCAACTTTGGTTCCAACCGCGAATGTTTATGAATGGACTGGTTGTGTGAAAATGAGACACGTGAGCAGGGGTAATATTACCCGCGTTTGTAGTGTTCATAATGAATTTGTGGGGAATAACCGCCAACCCATCCAACGGAATCAAAGAGGCAAACTATGTAAGTCTCCAGCGGATAGGTTGTGATGCAGCTCGACGATTGTACCGTCTAGCACCCGCAATGGTGTAGTTCATTTAGGGAATGTTTTAATCTAAACTCTTGTGCCATCAGACAATTCCTGCCCCAACAAACCGTTAGCGAACTGGAGTTTGTTTGGCGCTTTTCATACCGAAGTTCACCAAAACCTGACACTACCCAAAAAAGTTGTAACTTTTGCTGTGATTTAGATCTTTCTGAGCGGTATTTTAGACTTACTCATTCAATTAAGTTAAACCATAGTCAAATATGAGACAATACACCATGGGTTCAACCGTTTCTTCTTCACCTAGACTTCACCGCCGTTCCGTTGAGTTCTTCTGGTTCCATGATTCTCTCAAGTCTCGCCAATGGTTGCGAATAAACGGGAAGCGGATGTCACATATTCAGCGTGACGATTTGCACAATTTACAAATCTTATCTCAGGTTCATACTTCCTTTCTGATATTTTGCCTCAATTGTAACGGACCAATACCGTCTGAAATTTCAAGCTCTTCCCTAGGAATCAAATTTCATCGCGTTTTGTCGCACCTCAAGTTTTTTCGTGGTCTGTATATCTTATGGCAAGCTAATGGATAGGCAACTCACTCTATGTCGCCGAACATTTTTGTCCAGTATACTAACAGTCTGTTCATCAAGGGTAGTTGGTTGATTTGTTCTCTCAGCGTTTCGATTTGTCGAGCTTCTATGTCTGTCTGCGCTTCTGAATTCGAAGCAATATGTATGTACCCTGATTGTACACTGCACGATGGTTTCCACAAATGAGGTCAGCCTGTTCATCTGTGCCCCTGCTGCAAAGGTCTCGGGTCGCATTTTTAGTCCTGTCTATTTTTAGTCCTGATTGCCAAATCACAATCCTATTACGGTCGGATCGTGTTCGTTTCCGGTTCATCAATCAATCTGTCTCCCTCCCTCTCTCTCTCTCTCTCTCTCTCACACACACACACACACACGCACACTCGTTTCGTTTCTTGCAATCGACTAGTAGTTGGTTTGCATTTCCTTTTAAAACTGTCTCAGTGATCATTGTTTTTCTGTTTGCAGCGTTGCTCCGTTTAATTATTACTTGATTTCACAATCTCCGAAGTGTTTTTGTGTCCTGCTTTGGCCCAATGACATTATCACAGCATTCTTACCAGTCACTTCAGTGACCGTTCGCTAGTTTACAACTGTTATTTTTCATTTCGTTCGATACTGTTTGTAAATTTTTCGTTATTTCTGCAAGGATCACTGCGTGAATTGAACACGACGAGACATACTCGACCATTTATCATACCACTCACAACTTCAATTCCTGATCTACTTGGCAATCGTTGCAGTAGTTCACTCGTCAACTAATCATAAGTGTTTGTTTCATCAGGGATTGTTCTTTTCCTTTTTGCTTCCTTGAATTCAATATACAATGTTAAAGTTTTCAGAAAGGGCGCTGATCAAAGCGCTGCCATACAGCACATTGGGGGAAAACCAGACGGCGGTGGTGGGATTCGAACACACGTCCTTCGGGGTGATAATTTAGTGACCTTACCATCGGGCCATCGCGGCCAACGAACTTTGATCGTGATTGGCAAAGCAGTTGCACGTTGGGTTTCTAACCCTAGTCATCATTATCACTGCACCGGAAGATGCAGGTAATCAAACCGATTCACCACGTTCATAGGAAATGGACTCTTTTGAGAAAGGAAAAAGTGGCGTGAACCATTTTGACTAACACAACATCCAGTGTAACATGCAGCACCCCTCCCTNAAACAATGCCAATGAAACCGAATTTCTATCGGTTCGTTGCAAATTACTTTAGGGTCTCTATAAACAAACTCTTGGGGATTATTTCAGACCCCAACCTACAAGGTGAAAAATATCTAATCCGCTCAATCGTTGTGCGGTTCTTTTAAAATTTGTTCTGCCATCTGTTCAATTTCCACTGGTATGTACAGTAGATCAACAGCTACCAACAGTGATGTGCGGTAGACGACAGCCAGACCTGCGAACAATTCGGTTGCAGTCGAAATTAAACCTATCCTGTGGTGATTCGGACAGTCACTGCGTGATTCACAGTTGGAAAACAAACAACGAATGTCCCCGGATGACCGTATATGTTTGGTAGGCTGGATGTGTTAGCAGAACACTAACAGATTTTGCTTAACCTCAAGGATCAGAGTGAAACATTTCAAGTCCGATTGCATTTATCTCTTTTTCGCGATCGATCACAAAAATGGCAACTCCGTGGTTTCGTTGAAAACGCCGATAGTATTTCAATTATCAGTGTTATAAACGCGGAAACCAAATGTTGCGTTAAGGAATTGTTTATTTTAGCTATGCGATATGTTAAGGGACAATCGGGAATAAAAAACAAACAAACACTTAATTTGGAGCAAAAATGGTTGATTTCTCACCAATAGCCCCGGATTGTTGGTTTCGCGGTCCAAAGGTAGGTTTCGTATGAAATTTTTCCTGTACTTTGTGAGGAACCAGACTGTTTCAACATGCGTCTACATACAACGCAAATAGTAACTAATTACACTAGTACCGCTGAATCCGTGCTGGCAAGTCAAGTCACCAGGCCGACCTAATTCTCTTTTGAAGTTATTTCAGTTAGCTGCTTCAGGTACTTTGTTTACCGTAATCTGCCAACCAACGGTGTTACGTATCAATTGGAACAATCTTCAACTATTTATTAAGGCAGTGACCTCTTCTGTTTGACTAGCTACTTAGCATGGTTCTTCCTAAGACGTTGCGAATTAACGTGGCAGACCAGTTTTCCCTTTTTGATCCTGGTCGATTGGGCATTGTCCATCAGGACCATTAATTCCCGAGAAGCCCAGTGTCATGTCATACTTCTTCTTCATTATCATTTTATTTCGTTCATTTTTTACTGTAAATCTGGTACGTTCGATTGTCACCCAAGACCTGAGAAATTTGGTTTCAACCAAGAAGCACCATGTTCCTGTATGAGTTAGAGCAAATCTGACTAGGAACATGCACGATTAACGTCAAGCTTTGATGCAGAGTTGTGTGTGTGTGTGTGTGTGTGTGGTTGACCTTCTCACTGCATCATGTGTTGTTGCGTAAACCCTCAGCTATCATTCTCTGCAGTAGGTTGCGCTCTACTAGGGAATTATTTCATTCGCTTTCAGATGCTTCGCTTCTCTCTGTGTATGTGCTGTTCGAATAAAAAAAGAATGTCCCAGTTTAAATGCAAATATTTTATAGAATATTGATGTGCGGTATATGTGTCTGTCAGAGTTGATTTAATCTCCTACGCGATTACACCTCTTGGGATTTAACATGTTGAGAAGTTTATTGTTCATCTCCTTCAATAGCACTCGGATTTCTTTCGATTTATAATGGCACTAATGATAAGGAGGATGATCATAATAATAATGATACCAACGTACTGTCAGCTTTGGGGAGAATTATACGTGGACTAACTAAGGATTAATAGATTTAATAGAATAAATAAAGTCAAGTCTCGGTGGTAGTAATATAATACGCAACCGTGGCACAAAAATCTCGCATCGCTCGATCACTGTTACCCAAATGGTCACAGCTACCTGACAGCCCAGTTAACATTGCAGATTTCAACTCCTATGCTCGTCATCTCTGAATGCAATCTTACGTCTTCTACTTGTGTTTACAGCCTCCGGACTGGTGTACGTATTCGATTTACGTATGAAGAATCCGGTCATGGCTTATCAGTGGACAGACGAAGCTTCCACGGGAGGTGCAGCGATTGCCAGCTCTCCAGACGGGCATTGGATCGCATGCGGGTGAGTAGTTTGTCTTGGTTTGTATGATCGCAACCCTCTCGCTGTCCTTTGGTATCTGTTTCTCTACCCATTTAACGATTCACTGTTTCATCTTTGTTTCTATTTGTTTTATATTGTTCTATCTTTGTATCTGTTCCATTGGAATTACTATCTGATCACTGTTATAACATCTAACCAGTTTGATCTGTTGGTGCTTAAACAAGGGTTCGGGTGAACGGTGGATAGAGAGGGATTTCAACTGAATGCCCATCATCGATTACACTTTAGGCACTTCACCATTTCTTTTACTAGTTTGGTATTCCTCCATGATCAGATTGTGAGTCAGTGTACGATCTTCCAAAAGTTTATCTCTGAATACACCAGACGGTGGATAGTGTAAGACTTGATCTCAGTCATTACTGATAACGAAAACGGTATTGTTAGGTTTCTTAAATGTAGTTTGAAATTGTACAGCTTACCCCATTTGGTTCCCTCTGAACCAAATTACTGTCTTCTATCTCCGTGTTTCATGTATTGGATTGTTACTTTTGTGTTAATTGACACTCAAGGCCAAAGGTAATTTGCTCCTCTTTAGAAAGATCCGCAGAGTTTAACCAATAACCTTTGCGCAACTCAGAAACTTACTTTTACTTCACTATGACTTCTGGAATGTGAATGTGAATGTCTTCGATCATCTCTACCTGGCAGTTGGTTGCAAGGTCCTTGTATATGCTGATCCACCAATGAGTACATCTTCCATCCCAAGGCCAAGTTGGACTCGCTCTTCAACCACAAGGGCATAAACCTAATCCCAATAGCATCAAAATCATTCGCAGTTTGTATTATGCGCGTGACGAGTATACCCAATAGGAGCAGACTGGAATTTTCGCCATTTGCGGATGCATGGATCAATTATTCACCCTCTGACAGTTGCTAGACTATCTCCCTGCTTATCAGAGACCAGCGACCATTGTGTTCTCACACTCATGAAACCTTCGACTCCGTCGATAGGGCTGCATTATGGAACTGCTTGTTGAGAAANGAAATGGAGTATCTAAGAAGAATGTATCAATCCTAGCAGAGCTGTTTCGTCATATCTCTGGTCGGACTAGGTTTGTGACCAACCCTCGTTATCATTTGTCGTCTTCAGTGGAATGCGATAAGATTGCCCTATGACCCTACTCGTTTTCAATTTTGCCATGTAGGATGTTCTACTGAATACATTGTCCGTTTGAGCAAACGTTGGAGTTAAACTCCTAACAGAGGACATATTTTTCAACCTAGAATATGCCAATGACATCGCCTTGCTGGGTGTCAATGCACAACTAGTTCAGCATACTTTGAAAAGCTTGGTGATCAAGATGTCCATGTATGATTTACACTGTGCACCATCCAAGTTGCAAAGGCCTACTTGTAAACTCCCCATTTCCGGTGACCAGCTGAAGTTTGTGAGAGCCTGACGTACTTCAGGAGCTTGACCGTAGCCGGAGGTGGTGTTGGTAAGGGATCATATCAAGATAACTCGGTCATGTTTTGCGCAACCTGCTGGTTTTCTGCTTTCCCCTGCTTTCCTCTAGTTCGAGGTAAGACAGAAAGAAGTACCATGGTCCTCAAACCATTCCTTGATATTGGGTTGTGAACAAGTTATCTTCATCACTGGCTTTGGCTAGTGTGCCCCGCCTTCAAGGTTTGAACCCAAGGTAGAGAATTACCGACATCGCTAAATTATTAACATTATAACATTCACAATAAAACAACACATAGCACATTGATTTTTCGATACACTCCTAACATCATTTGGTCCCGATGTGTTCAGCATAGGGATCGTCTTTGTATAAAGGCGCTACGGTATATGGTTCAGAGTGGGGGGGGGGAGTTAGTGATGCGGATGTTGCATGGTTTTATCTTTCAATATCCCACGTCCGATAAAATGCAAAGTACACCGAATTGCGTCCGGTAAAACAAGAACATGGTGTTTTATATAAGTTGTAATTTTGAAAACAGCGATGTCGGTACAGGTGAAAATAAGCCGACGTTTCGGTTACTGCGGATAACCTTTATCAAGGCGATTTTACAATCGAATGGTGTTTTCTTCATATTCTGTTATCGATTTATCCTCATTCTCATTTCTTTTAATTTTACTCCAACCCACAATTTCCATCATCGTTTTTTGTTGGCATTATGCTCGTTCCCAATAAACGGTATCTGAATGACTTGGCAAAATTTCCCTGGATGCATATGACCGGCTTCGTAGTTGTTGACACTTGTCAACCATACCTATCCTGGAATTGTGTGTCAGTTCATTCATATGCTTCTCCACTGGAAATGTATTTTCGATACAAATATCTCATTTGCAACGTCGGGTCTGTCGGAGCTAGTCCGTTTATGAATCCAGATTGTGATTCAGTGTTCTGTAGGTGGGTTAGATGCTACACATATACTCGCAATCGTTAGATAATCTTTTTCTTAGCTCTTTTCAGCTGACTTAATATTTTTGTTTAGCAACATCAAACAAAAAAGAATAATTCATTACAGTCGCTATCTACTCACATTTGATGTGATTTAAACCGGAATATTTTGAATACGCGTTTCCTTGGTTACCTAGGTAAATTTGTCTGAAGTGTGTACAGCCGATAGGCTTTATACTCACTACAATTAGTAGTCGCTTCTACGGGGCTGCTGACACGTATGTGATGGGTCATTTGTAATACTTGCGCTGTATTGTTGCGGATCGTTGGAGTAGACAGATAATAATAAAAACAGTCAAGCAGTAAAAGTCAAAGAGAAACGCCTTACGAAACGGAACAGGGATAATTCACAATATCGTAGATGTGTTCGCGAAGGAAACGATAGTCGGCCAAATGTGCATCTGACCTTCCAGGGAGTTCGTTTTGAGCATGCTCGTGGGTAGCAATCTTGGGGCATTTTATTTTTGCAAGGTGTGTATGAAAATGGTCTGATAAGTGTTGGTCCTTGTATTGGCAGACGCAACTGTCGACGCAGCTGTCAAGACAGCACAGAGCGAATACCTGCTGCTTCCAAGCGGTTAGGTGAAAGTGTGCCCTCCATTGTTTACAACAGCACAATGTTATGCACTGAGGTCTGACAGTAAAATCGAAGAATACATGAATTGTACAAATATCACGGTAGCTTGTAGATTAGGTCTACTGGAGGCACCTATAATCAATGTGTGAGTTAAAAACGCACCGTTTAGCCACCTCTTGATTATTTTCAATTACAAAATAATATAAAATCAAAATGGACATACTCCGGAGTGTTGCTTGCTGGTTCCAGACTATGTTGACCGCTTAAAGATCAGTCGAGCACGAATCGCCGAATACTCATCCGTATTTTCTTCTAAACGAATCCGAGCAGATGCAATAAACGTCGAAGACGTTCACAGACTGGGTTATCAATGGCAAAAACTGTCAAGATCTTCGATTTATGCAGACCCACCATGCCTAGCATAGTTTTCGTTGAAAAACGTTTCGATATCAACGTGTTGAATCAAAACGCATCACTTCAAAATTAGGTTTTGGTTTGATTTCTGTGAACTCCTCATGGAATAACCGAAGAGTCTCAAGTCTACCCGATGATTTGCCGAATTGCTTGTTTGCCGTTTCGCAACGAAGGCTGAACCAGTTTTGTCTGTACTGGCGTTCAATTTCCATANATACTAATTAACCCTGGGTACCTCCGGTGAAGCAGACGTGAATGCTACCAGGCGCGTCCCCGGGTTGTGGATGGTCAGCTGTGAATAGCTGTGGCATACCGCAACAAATAAGCAGAGTGTGGTGGGTTTCATTCTGGACACTTGGCTCCTGTTTAAAAGCCGCATAAGCCCAATGACGGTGTCTTGAAAAAGGTCGATTTGACTGGTCTTTCAAAACTAAATTCATTGACCCCCTCACTTCCAAGGCGAGGGATTACTTCCTGCTGCCCTGCAGCTCGCACTTAATTGTGCAAAAGTTAGAGGTGCGCCCTCAAAATAAAAAAAACGCCGAGTGACGCTGGGGACGTCTCTCGTTTCAAACTCCCTAGGAACTTCATGATCATGTCTGGAGCCGGCTTATCCTTTCCAGTCAGCCGCAGTAAAGTAAAGTAATACAAATTAACATTCAAACAAAGGAAGCTGCGGACCGAGTTTGCCAAACGATCCGTATCATACCGCAAGTCGTTTTGACGATAGAGTCTTTCGCTGCTGAGTGCCGGTGAACTCACAAAAAGGTGATTTGTGCATCCCACCGGCATGGAATGACAATATCTATCTTAGCCGATGATGGAGCGGCCATAATGTATGGAAAGCCACGTCGATGAACTCTTATCAATCCCTAAGGTCACGGCAAGCGGCATTCAAACACCATACGGTGATCATATCAAGATGAATACAGTTTAAATACGAGTTCCTAGGGCATAGCTATCCGCTTATTGTACAAGATGATGCCGATGATGTTCATTCGTGCCTGGTTTTATTCTTCCTCATATATTTCAAAGTGATTTAGTTGAACCAAGCAACGTTCATCATTGCTGTTTTCAAAATGCGTTCTCGAAAGTTGTTTTCCTGCCAAAATGCAGCTTCTCTTCCACATATGGTTTTAAGAACTAATATTCGAATCGTATCAATGCAAACGTTACTGTATTTGCTACCCAAAGTACCAGTATTATCTTACTGTAGTATCTGTTCACCTTTAAAACAAAGATGCTTGTATTGTACCAAAGACTGGTCGCGAAATATTTTCTGTCTCTGTTCCACAGTTACTTTTGAGTTGTTCTGGCTAATGCCATCATTTTAAACAGTGTGCAAAATTACCTTTCTCGCATCGCTCAACTTCATCCTCCCATTGCGTGCAACAGGTCGGACAGTGGATTTGTCAATGTCTACCCAGCGGCCAAGGTTTCCCAGTCTCCTCATCCACATCCAGACAAGTCGATTGCCAATTTGCGCACCCGTGTTGATCTGGCCGTGTTTCATCCTGGCAACGAAATGCTCTGTATTGGATCGTCTGATCACTCGGCAGCCGTGCGTCTGGTACGTTTTTTTCTGGCACTACAAAATACGTTCATCAGATCTTTCTGCATGCGATAGTCGTCACCGTGAATGTGGTTGAGAATGCATACCCTAGTTGTTTGTATCCAATTCCAGATCACAATTATGTACAATGCTCATTTCCTCAGCTTTTTTAATCTCTTTTCCGCCCCGCCTCGTTCTCGCAGTACCACATGCGAAGTCGTCAAGTGTTTGACAATTTCCCGGTTCGCGTTGGCCGTCTCGATCTGGTCAGCTCGATCGCTTTTAGTCCGGGTGGGAAGTACTTGTGTATCGGACAAAAGAACGGGAGAGCTGCTCTGTACAGTATTTCGCATTATCCAGACTACTGAAGTCCGTTCCGGTGATAAAACAAATTGTACAGTGCGGCCGTAAATATAATCGATTACCTGACTTTTTCACGTTCTGGGATCGTTTTCCGTTATTTATTTCCGGCCTTTGGAATCATGTAGTAGGTTTTCCGCTTTCGGTGCTAGCCTGTGGTGGTGGTGGTAGTGACCAGAACAGCCTTGCTGGATCTTACCGATTATCGTGAAAGAAACAATAATTATGGGTGAATCGTTGACATATTTTCCAGTAACTAATCGCGTGAAATTAACCGTGCTATGACTGTCTTAGTTCCCGGCTGTGATCATAATCATTGTTGATTACACAATCTGAGATCACTAGTCTCTCACTTCTGTTAAAAAAACTCAACAGACACGAGAAATTTGAAAAACATTTGCTTGCTAAGCCTGAAAGAATGCATTTGGGATTTTTCTCTAGCGCACCTGAATTGTCATAACCGTGCAACATAATCACCTAATTTTTTTTTCAAAATTAGCACTATGTTCTATTTGATTTCGTTTGGAATAGGACAGGTGGTTGCGCTACGGGATTTGTGCACTAATTGCGGTTTGCCTGTATTCAACCGCATACGTTTATGGTCAACACAGCGCGCACAAGATGATCAGTAACAACAACACGTTGGGATCAGTGTTTTGGTACTGTGCTGCTTTTAGGTTCCAAATCGGGCTAGGTAGTGAGTGGGCGAATGTATCCGATGCTCTTTCCCCAGTTGTACTAGATAATAGAACGTTGATTGATGATGGTCTGCGTTGTACGGTTACGAGGATGCACAGTTGATCACGCGAGGTCACGTGGATTTGCGGTGCTTAAGGTCTCAAGGGAAGAGTGCGAATGGGTAGTTCGGTTCCAATTGTTGACAGTGCTCGCTTTCACACCGCACTGCATCTTAACATAGTTTGGCGATCTGTTTGTTTCTGTCGATCATAGTCTTTCAAAGTGGCTTTTCTGAACCGCACATTCAATCGAAAGTCAGAATAAATGGAACCTCAAGGCCAGGCAATATACGTTTCGATATCTGCTTTGGAACAAACACTGAAATAAAAACCAACACGCACTGGTCGGAAACCCCTCGGTGAATGAATGTAGCACAAGAGTTCTTTGGGTTTCTCTTTGAAGGGGAGAGAAATTTTCGCACTGCACCACATTAGTAGCTCAACGTTGGCATCACTCAACCAATATCTTGCTATTTCATCCTAGCGCTTTTCATCTCATTCTGCGTTGAGAGATCTCTGAAAATGTGATCAAAGCAAATTTGTCGTTTCTTAATGTACGACGTTTCCGTCGTGGACTTAACGTTACCTTTTCCTTCAGATGTGAGTGTAGCACAACGGTATGTGCGGGTACGTCTGAAACATCTTATCTACTGGTGGATGATGCCTTACAACGACCAGCCGATTCCGTTGGGATTCAAGAAAAGACACTAATGCTTGTTAATTAAGTTCTAAAACTGATAACGCTGCCCCAGTGAATCTACAATTCCGATAAATTTTGCTTGAGGCGATTTGGTTGTCGGCTTCATTTGGTACGGATCTTAACTAATATCTTCTTTCGGGGTTATAGAGCAGCTATTGTTGCTGTCAAATTCTTGTCTGTTTCTTCTCGCGGTACTAAACCTCAGAATCGTGGGCCGGTTGTCTTACAAAGTTTAGTGAAAATTGATGAGGTGGTAAAATCGTCATTTATTAGGGCTGGATACCGAAACAGCACAGTGCCATTTTGTACACCACAGGTTGCTGCGAATCAGCCTTCTTCATAATTCCCGCACACTGGTATCAATGCGATCGGGTACTGGCCACGTGTCGAACTGTCAAGACACTCGATTTTGTATATTTGTATTCACACTATCGCTCCCGGGAACTCCTGCCGTGCACCGTCTACTTGGCGAAGACGTGACATGAAGAACCACGGGGCGCATATTGGCAGGCGTGGAAACTACGTGTACGTCACATGAGATATTGTGTCAGTGGGACGGACTTTACAGGGCAAACGTGTAGCTCAATGCATAATCTCTTCATTTTTAAAATTTTTTACTGCAAAACTCGAGTCTCAGGAGCAGAAGGTGCAATCAATCTGGTCGGTTTTCATCATTGTTCCTATGGTGAAAAAGTGACCGTAAACGGCGAAGAGGCCTCGTGAAAAGGAGTAAAATCTGTGGTTGAATAAAGCAGATCGAGGAGGGAGTAACTTTGGTGGTTAAGGTTCCGACAAGTTTCATCAGGCATTCATAGTCTCTTGGACCAACTCGATAAACACTCCATGATCGACACGCTATTGTTTTCAGTGGAACGAGTGCTTTGTCAAATGGTTTTCAACAAATCATGGAGTTTGTCTTCTGTTGGTGCTCGCAATATGGTGTCCTCACTGGATAGAGCTATATGATTTCAAGCTTTTTTGAGATTACCTAAAATTGTACTATGCATCCATCGAGGTTAGAACCAGTTTGTTTGTAAAGTTGGCTTTTGCCCCGGGGAAACCCCAAACTACCAACTCTCGATTGATGAACACAACATTTTGCTGAGTGAGTGGGTGCATCACACCTCGGTATTCTAGTATTAGTTGCATATGCACAAGTGGAATACGATAAAAGTACGAGCAGGGTAAATTCAAGGCGGGGTGTTGCGAAAAAATAAAGTAATCTCCGATTTGCATGCACTACACTGGTTTGGTAATCGATAACAAACAACGCTTGACGGCTAAGAACAGCGAGTCATGTTATTCATGCGAAGGTCATCTCAAATTGTGGAGCAGGCATATCAATTCGAATACAGGAAGTGCCCAGTACAAGTTCAATTCAATTTATTGCAATAGTCAATCTGGGTACGGAGTTGATTCGACCGGGATTACTGCCGATGGCTAGATGTGAACCCAGATGATCCAGTTCGCTAGTATAGATTATAGAATGTTTTGATTGTTGAACCCTATCGGACAATATTTCTTTCACATCCAGTGCACGAATTCCCTTTTGCGTCTGGAAAAATATATACTATTATATGTTATCGTTCCAACCCACAAATTGGCTTACATAAACACGAACAGAAACGTTGGCGATTAGCTGACCCAAGCACGTGATTGAATGCAAAGGAATCTTATTGTTTTATGCTTCTGAGTTGTGGCGAAACATTATCGCTTCTCTCAGAATCGGGTTATTTATTGCTTTGTCCGAATATACCCACAACATTGCGAACAATATCTGGGTTCGGGTCCAGTCCGATATTGAACACTTGCGAACATTACAATGGATCGCATTCTCAGTTTTAGTGGCCAAACGTGAGACGGTTGTGGAGCCGCGAATCTGATGTGTTAGTTACCAAGGAAACGAAAACTCTAAGACAGATACGAGCTTAGTGTTTAAGAGATTTTGCTCTCGGGCAATAATTCGGACAGAATTCTTAGTTTTATAACATAATATTGAGCACAGTTTTCATTTTTCTATGGTAGATGTGCAACAAATCCACAATTAATTTCGAAATAAAGCTGTGATTGAACGTAGTTTTTTGCGGACCAGAATTCTCACGGAATCCGATTTCAGTTAAGCGAATCCTCTGGTGTTTCGGCCGCTTGCTTGTTATCAGACCAGGTTTGCATAACGCTACCAATTTGTACAATTCCTTTTCCTTCGATTCTGTATTGTAATTTACGAGCATATCTTTTTGAGACAGATGACCCAAAGCGGGTGGAGTAAAAAGGTGTTTAGTATTACCCGGTATTCTACATTTGACTACGATCGCCAGTTTTACTTTGAGGTTTATTGTATACATTGGGGTTAGTTCGCTGAAGAGATCTATCCTCTCAAATCCCGAAATACAATGAAGGAAAATAGCTGCATAACGAAGATTGTATTCTCATACATTGCGCCTGATCACTCAATCTGATTCGACCCCGAGTTGTTCCTCAGTTGTATTTAGCTTCAAGTCCAAACGGAGCCTATTGCTTGTAGCAAATACTTCCGGTTTAGCTTGAGAGAGCTCGGCTGATTTAAGAGATTCTGGAGAGCGTAGTTTTCCAACAGTCACAATGATGGTTCACGTCGCGTTCACAAGACACACGGTCTTTGTGCTCTGGTTTGTGTGGCTTCAGTGCTGCAATTTTTCGCTACTACACTGCACGCCATCAGTTCCGCGAGCAGAGTGGTTCGGAATTCGCTGTGCTTTGCTGCCGAAATTTGCTGTTCATGAGGACGAGCGTTATTTTTATGGCTAAGTGTGTTTACTCGAGAACGTACTAATAGCTTGTGGAAATTGAATTCGTCGCACTAACAGTCTAACTCCGAAGGAGAGGGAGGGGCACGAAAAGAAATCGGAACACATCACAAGGCCACAAGGCAGTATTGTAACCAGCAGAAAATGTAAGTATATCGCGTGTGGTAAGGCGAAAAAACATGTTTTTGCCCTCGCCCCCTCACTTTAATGGGGCAGACACAAAAATTGAACGCTTAAAATGAGCAATGTTTATGCGAATTAATCAATCAATACCATTCATTTGAAAACAATATTTAATTAGCGGTCCAAAATCATAGTTTCTTCTTCTACTAAAACTTAGCAATAATGGATTGCTGTTCTATTGTTTTCATCTACTCGCGGTTGGAACAGCGAACCCTTGTATTTGGAAGCTGCCACTCCCTACCTTTTAGCCGTGTGAACCATGGCTACTGCATGAATGTTTTTTCAGCACGGTTTTCAACGTCTGGCACCTGAGAAACTGAATAGACCAAGTGGGGAAATATCGTCAAATATCGCTAATTCTACTTAAGAAGACCGATGAAAACCATTTCGGTAATTTTTATCGAAAATTTTCAATTACAATTGTTTGCCTGCCTGGAAAATTTGTTTGCAAACACTCTATTCATCCGAGATCGAAGTGACGGTTTCAGTGGGCACAGCGTTTTCCCTTCAGATTGCTTGATGGAATCATCACACAGTTGGTTACTTCGAGGCTAATTTCCGCCACGCAGACGTCCCGAGACAGAATGGGGTGATACACTGAT